AGAATACAGTAGGTTTTTTACTTTTTTGTTCAACTTTATACTTTCTGATAAAAACAGTTAAGTGAAAATGTGATAAGTGATATATATTATGTAGAACTATAGGCTACAATTTAAGTCATGAGCACTTTGTTCGTAAAATCAATTATATATAAACAATTAACAAAACAGTACAAAACGACGTATGTTCTGTTACGAAAAATAGGGCCAGATACAACTAGCGCTGTAGTTCACGTGGCCACCGCTCTTGGTCGATCTGTTGTTCAGTAYAGTATAGCGCGAGTTACAACCTGTGTAGATAACCGTGGTTCATAGTCTCAGTTTTATCATTGATGTTGGGCACTGGGAAGTAATGCAAGCATTAATGTATCTTATGTACCCTTTTGTTAATAGTTAAGTTAAATGTTTAGTCTTCATTTATCTGCAGAGTAATATTTATCTGTTAAACAATTAATAGTTTATTGTACATTAAAATATGTATAATATTTTAATTGGATTCAAGTCCATATTTAATATAAAAATAAATTAAATAAAATGAACATTAAAAAAAAAAATTAAAATTAAATTATTTATAGGTACTAAAAATTATCAACAAATTATGCAGGTTAAAAATAATGAGATTGTCATTTTTATGTTTCTTTTATATAATATAAATCGGATTGTTTTTCTTTCAATATATGTAATTTGTAATTTGTAATTTGAGTTATAGTTTTTAAATCAAATTAATCCCCAGTTATAAAATTGATTTTTTTTTTTTTTTTAGTGAAATTACTATGGACAAACACCAGAAAAACAATTATTCTTCTAGTACAACCGAAAAGAGAAGTCCAGAAAAAAAGAATGAAAAATTACTATCAAACCTTGGTTATGGAAATATTTTAGTTAAAACAGAATCAAACATTATGAATAATAGAGTTAAAGATTCTATTAATTCAATTAAACCAGCTGTGCTGACTGATCAAGACATTAATAATTACATATTAAACTGTGTTTCAAATTTAAAAGTTAGTGATCCAAAATCTCCAACACATTCCAAGTTATTTCCATTCAAATCAATGGATTTATCTAACTCAACAGATAGATTACAAAGCAATAATTCTATAGATAGTATAAACAGTACTAACAATTTGTATCTACATTCCAACATAGATCAAGGTAAATATCCTAGAAACAACATGACATTAAAACCTTCATTATCAAGTCCACCACCATACTGCACATCAATAGGAAGTAGAGAATCGCCAAGTCCTCGTGCTAGTATTGGGTCTATTAGTCATGAATTAAAATCGTCACCTTTGTATGAGAATGTTGATTTTTATAATGATGGTCGCTCTTCAACTCAAACTCCTACATATTATCATCAAAGACCTAGACCTGGTTCACATTCCAGCGGTGGATCTCAAGACTCAAGACATTCCAGCCCTAGAACTAGTATAGTTTCTTGTGAAGGTTCTTCAGCGCTTTATGAATCAAATTATCGTAAAGCCCAACCTCAAGTTCCAGTCAGCTATCCCAAATACATTCCACCTATGGGAAAAGAAGTTCCACCTTATGAAGCACCACCTATTTATGAAACTTTATCTGATAGTAATAAAAATTTGAATTCTTATGAACCTGCTAAACCTGGTCCACAAGTACCCACACAATCTATTGGTCATATTAGCCGTTACCCAGCTCAACATGCTACACCATACATAAAACCCATACCTACTATTGTTCCACAAGCAATAAAAGCCTTATCAGAGTATGCATCTCAATCAGATTCTCAAAACATGAGATCATATAGTTCCGCAAATAATGTAAGCTATTCTCAAGATCCAGTAACACCAAAATCAACCACATCAGTAGAATCACAAATGTGTGTAGTAGGGCAACCAGCACTTGCCGAATCTAGATCTCAAAAACAACATAATACCATGCCTAAAATTTTTCAAACAACATCAACATATCAACAGGAGTCACCAATACACCATAGCAAATTAACACGGACTTCACCAACACCTCCTTTACCTATTAAAATTAAACAACCTGCTAAAAATCTTCTTCCATATAATGTTACTCCACCTCGACCAATGGTAATTTTATATAACATAAATTTATACAGTGTACTCTCGATTATCCGACAAAAAATATACATAGATTATTGTATCTTTCCATTATGAATCATTTTAGGTTTAATTGGGTTGTGAATTTGCAATAGTCGATTATGCAATAACGTATATTACATTGCATTTGATCACTTATAACGCGTTTACCTATTTAGTCTTCTGTCTACTGTACAAACACACGTTTAGACTAGAACTTTGCATTAGTGTTTAAAGTGTTTTGCGTCATTTTAGTTTTAATATTTTTATTGCAAGTCCATAACGAAATGAGTGAAAAAAAATATGGTATTGTCAATTCAAGTTTCTCTTGAATTGATTAACACTATTGAAAAGGGTACATCGAAAAAACAAATTAGCTTGCAGTATGGAATAGGAGAAAGCACCGTTAGGGACATTTTCAAACAGAAAGATAAATTAATGAAATTAGCGTCCGCATCAGACAACTACTCATCAATGAAAAAATGAAAAACCATGAAAACTAGCACTTATGAAGAATTAGATGCGACTCTTTTTTAGTGGTCAGTGGATAAATCAAGTAAGAGGTGAGGAAACTCCTGTTTCAGGACCTATTGTTTTTGCAAATGCTAAACAGTTTTTTGAAATGTTAGGTTTAGAAGGGAAATTTGACGTGTTACAGGGTGGTTGACAAGGTTTAAAAACACCACGGAATAAGAGAAATTAGAATAAATTTTGTTGCTTTGAACAGACAGCGGAAGATTTCAAAATTAAATTTGAATAGTTTCTTCAAAAAAAGAATATATCTTACGAAAAATATTGTATAGTGCTTATGAGTCGGGGCTGTTTTAGAAATGTTTGCCAACCCGAACACTTGCATTTGAAAGTGAGCGACACGCCCCAAGACATAAATGCAGTAAAAAACGACTATTTAACCATAATGACATGTAGCAACGCAACAGGTTCTCAAAAATTTAAACTGGTAGTGATTGGTAAATCAAAAAAACCGAGATCTTTTAAAGGGACAAGAGCTGAAAACCTCCCAGTACACCTTGTCCTCCCACCTTATTCCATGGATAATTGAGAGTACACTGTAGTTATAAATGGTAATATATTCATGGCCATTAAAACTGTTATGAAAGATAAAATATTATAAATTTCTTATTTAATTATCATCATTTGATAATTGGTGAATTTAAACAACCATTTGTGGAAATACAATTTTGGAATTTCGGAATTTATAAAAACGTTATTCTTATTGACTTCTTTACTTTGTTGGCATTTTTACTTTAATTTTAGGGACCAACAGAAGCGGAAAAGAAAATTGAAGAACTAACTAGACAGTTAGAAGAACAGATGGAAACTCAAGATGTTGCTGTTGGTGGAGAATATTTTGGTTGGTCTTATTATTTTATATTTGTTAACTTAATAAAACAATACAATAATTTAATTTATTTTACATTATGAAATAATTTTTTTTTAGGGATATGCCATACTTGTGGTAATAAAGTGACTGGTGCTGGTCAGGCTTGTCAAGCAATGGGAAACTTGTATCACACTAATTGTTTTATATGTTGTGCTTGTGGTCGCGCACTTCGTGGTAAAGCATTCTATAATGTTTATGGAAGAGTGTACTGTGAAGAAGATTACATGGTATTAACTTTAAATGATAAACATATTGTTTTTGTTTTTAATAACAATTCAGGGTTCATATTTTACAGTGGTCAGAATGGTACTAGTTTTTTGTAGTGCGCTAACACTATATAGCAATGTGTTACTTTAGAATATGTTAAAATATTTTTTATTGATGGTAAATAATGTAATTTGGTGTTTTTTTGTTATTTATTTAGTATATAGGATTTCAACAAACTGCTGAGAAATGTTCAATATGTGGGCATTTAATAATGGAAATGATTTTACAAGCTATGGGAAAATCATTTCATCCTGGTTGTTTTCGATGCTGTGTTTGCAATGGTTGTTTGGATGGAATACCGTTTACAGTGGATATTGATAATAAAATTTACTGTGTTGCTGATTACCATAGGTTAGCATAAAATCTTAATCCTCACTTATACTTAAACTAAACTTATTTATTCTAAGTGGTATCATACTTCAGTTTATATAATCTACATTTCTTTAAATGTTTAATTATGAACTACTACTCGTATATTTATAAATTGTTAACCAGCACATTAAAATTTTGATATTGTACAAAACATGTTTTGTGGGTTGCTAAAATCTTATAAAACTTCTTGAACAGGCTGCTAAAGTAGTGAATTATATTGGATTGAAGTATTATTGTATCATATTATTAACTATCTAAAAAGTTAAAAATCATAAATTATTCAATGCATAAATTATAACTATTCAAACAACTTAAACATTTGATAGATTTTCAAATTAATAGATATATTTTTAACTTTCAAAATTAGGTAATCAATTTTTGATATTCGTATTTAGTTGATGATTTAATTGATGATAACAGAATTCATATGGATGAATGCTGCAGCTCATTTAATTCATAGGTACACATTAAATTCTGTACAATTGTCAAAAAAAACTTCATATTGTCAATCATAATAATTTAATTTTTCATTGTGTCTCCATTAATATGTATAATTGTTTAATATAATAACACAAATTTAAAATGATTTGCTAATTATAAAAAAAAAAAAAATGAAGTGTTAACCAAAATACCACAGACTAGTTTAGTTGCCCACTCAACTTCTTTATTCTGCCATGCAAATTTTGGTTAATAGTTTGTGGGATAATCATGATTTTGTTCCTAATATAATTTGTTTTAATTACTTATAGGAAATATGCTCCTAAATGTGCATCTTGCGGAAAAGGAATTACACCAGTTGAAGTAATTAACTGAAAAAAAACTTGCTGATGGCTAGTCAATTTTATTTTAATTATTTTTTGTTTCAGGGTACTGAGGAAACTGTAAGAGTTGTATCAATGGATAAAGATTTTCATGTTGATTGCTTTATTTGCGAGGTCAATATTTTTCAAATTATTATGTTTAAAATAATCAAAAAAACTTATAGAAATTGTAACTTTTAGGAGTGTGGAATGCAATTAACGGATGAGCCTGATAAAAGGTGTTATCCATTAGATTCTCATTTATTATGCAGATCATGTCATATAACACATTTAAATGAAAATACTCCTGAATTAGAGGTAAAATATTAATATTTGGGAATTTCAAGATATACATATTACTTAATAAATATGATTTTTTTAGAGTGTTTCAGCTACATACGAATATTTAGATTGAAGATTTGAATAGCTGATTATCAACATCAAATTTCATCTATTTAAGGCTACTTATTAACTAAGGACAAATTATAATTAAATCTTCATAATTGTATTTCATTACAAATATTAATAATTGAAAGGTAGTTAAATTTCTTTTAAATACTTACTAAAATAACATAATATGGAGACCGACTAGGAACATGACATTTATCAACATAACATTTTATGTTTATACTAAATTAACTTAATTTATTTTGGAGTATTTAATAGTTTATAATAAAAAACCTCGTCCTATAACATTTAGTGGTTAGCTTATAGGGTACATTTATTTAAAAAAATATTCATTAGATTGAATACTTTAATAGTAATTATATATAAAATGAACTAATAATTTTTTTTAAATTTAGGATTGATGTTTTCCATATGTTTTTACATATTCGTAAACATGTATAATGTATACATTATATTATGGTTGTGATTCCGTTATTCCACATTCAATAAATTGTTTGAAAAATATTTTTTTATTTCAGTAGGTATTGCCTATAATTTTAACATTTTCCCCTTAATACTAAAGTTTTTTTTTATCAATCCAGTCTATACACATACACATAATACAGTAATTTCTATTATTATAACTTTTTCAATTGGAAATTCAAATAATTCAATAGGTTTTCTACATTATTTTTTTTATTACTACTCCTATAATTGTATTGTTTAATGTTGTGTTACGTTAATTACAAATTTAGTTTTTGTATACTATTGTTTTTCCTACTTGCTTTGGTATAATATATCATATATAACTACATATACTGTTCTAAAATAATATCTATTTTGATATTAATTTTAGATTAATTTGTATGTATTACTAAACAAAAGATAAAAGTAAAATATTCAAACATTTATTTAAATCAATGTTTCTTAGTTTTTTATTATCTGCTGAACTTCTAACAAAGTTTTATCCTTAGTACAGACAAATTTTTATTTTATTTTCAATATACACAATTTTATGTTCTGTTAAACCTTTTATTGATATAACTATAGAAAGACAATATTATTATTTATTTTAATTTTATATATTACCTGTTAGTTAAGTTATTTAAAATCAGTACTTTTATAATATAATGTATACGTTTATAGCTAAAATATTTAACTTTCTATTTTAATTTTAAAAACCCATTCGGCATTCCATATCCCCAGATTGAGACCCACTGATTTAGTTTATAAGCAAAAGTGTATTTGTCTGTAGAATTAATGTATGGATAGGTATTTTATTGAACCCCTTAAAAAAAGTTATAAATCTTGAATAATATTGTGGAACTACAATTATTGTTTTGTTGATAATTAATATTTTTAACCTGTTTCTATTCTTAATTATACTCAGTATTTAAAATACACATTATACGCTTATTACTTTCAAATTTTAGATTTGTTTCATTTTCTGTTTTTAAATGTATCGCCATTATAGTAAATTTTTTAACATATTTTGAACTGTTTGTTATTTATCATTGTTTTTTCGCAACTGTAAATATCTTGTAAATCATAATATTGGAATATTTTCAGATTGTGATAGTTATAATTTAAGTATACCTTGATTTTAGTAGCTATGTAATTTATATTATTTTATAGTAAACATTAATAATGATTACCAATTTATTTATTTATTTTTATTTTTTTGAACATAGATATTAATTTTTTGTATCAAAAATTATTAATATTATTTTGTATGGTTTTTGTTGAATTATAATAATATATAGTTAATTAAGTTAAATATTTAATCCAAATATCAGTTTATAATGGTATTTAAGGGGATTCCATTCCGACCGCTTATAGGAGATGAGAATAGACAAATTTTAGACAATCTGTATAATACATGTGTTTGTGGCATGTATGTGTTGGTCTATTTCATGACTCGTTTATCGTTCCTTCGCTGATTACCGAAGCACAGCGTGTGGTATCTAATATTATTTTTACTGTCCTTATTCTAATACTATTTGAAACTGTCTAAAACCTCGATTATTGTTATTAATTATTCCGCTATTACGTATTSGTAAAATTAATTATTCTTAATTAATATTTATGTATTATTTATTATAATAATTATACCTGAAGTTTGTTCTGCAATACTAGAAATTCTCAAGGATTATGTCAAGGTTAGTAATTAATAATTATCATGTATTATAATTGTGTAGGTATAATAATAATAATAATAATATCAGTGTAAATGCATAACTCTTTATTACTAAATAACTCGAAGATAATATTGAAACAAATATTATAAATATTAAGGGAAAATAAACTTAACTTCCATATGAAAAAACATTATTAAATGTAAAAACATAAAAATAAAATTAAAATCAACTCGATAAATCCAAATAATAACTATTATGTACAAATGTAAATTAAACATTTACAAGGAAAAACAATTTTTAATTAATCCATACTTGTATGCGGTAAGGGTTGAAAAACTTCTGTATCACACAAAGAATTTTATTCTGGAGGTGTAAATACTGACTGAAGTTGTTGATTTGAAGTGTTTTCAACATTTGTGAATGGCATATTTTACTATGAATAATGTGCTGGGATTGGTTAGTAGGTGCGATTATTCTGAAGACTGTTATGAGGAATGTAATTAGATGGCATTTGAGGGTTTTGAAAGAAAAAAGGCTGAGTATGACCTGTTTGAATATGAACAGACTGAGTACTATAATGTTTCATTTCAGCATTGAAAATTAGATTCTGTATTTGATTTTCTAATTTTGCCTTTTTCATGTGGGGAAAATATTTTTAATTTGGTATCAATATATGTGGCAAATGAAGAATATTCATGATTTACGGCAGGTTTTTTTTCACTAATGGATTTCATGATCGCAAAGGCCAAATTTATTTTAACGTCTGCATCATCTATGTCACATATACGTTTTTTTTTGGAAATTTTTTTCAACGGGTGGATTTTGCTTTGGTTCATTCTGGATATCGTAATATTATGTTCTTCTATTGATACTGTCGTAACATCTAAATCATTTTCTGAAGAATACGAAGGTTCTACAGTATTAATTCAGTATTAATAGTATCATCAACCTAAATGCATATATTATACAATGTACAACAGAATGACTCAACAAATGAAGAAATAATTTTTAATCTAATCAATACTGCTTAAATGTTTTTAATGTATTTTATATACTTGTGTTATAAGTACAGTATACCTTTTTTTTTTTTTTTTTACTAAAAATTAAAAATTTAAATTTAATTTAATTTAATTTTCAAATAATTCAAAAACGTCAAGTTGTAAATTTAATTTTCAGACGGAAAAAACTTTATATCAGTCAATTACAGATTCTGAACAGAGTGATAAATGTAAATATTTTACAATATTTTACAATATTTTACAATATTTTACAATAATTTATGTTTTTATCTTTATTTATTTATTTATAATATATATTTTTTTTATTTTATGATAATTGGTCGAAATAATGCTTCAATTTTTAACTTTAGCATCTTTTCCGAAGGGAAAGTAAATCTAGTTGGTGCATTCCGGAGTTAAAAATTCCCAGTATTTTCCAAAAGTGCCRGTATATACAGTAAAAAAAAAATTAAGAAAAATAGGAATTTTACGCAAAATAGTTTTTCGACAAGATCGATTTTGGATTTTGGTTTAACTTAAAAAAAAAAAAAACCCGTAGCTATATGAAATTTTCAATGAATGTTTCACACACATTTTCAAAATATTTTGATTAATGAGCGATTTATAGACACATGTAATTTTCGATTTTTGTTAGGCTTTTTTTAAAATCAATGTCAATAAAATAATTTTTGAATTAAAAAAAACTTTTTTTTTTAACTTTTATTTTTAATATATACAATCTATAAATACATTTTACAATAAGCATGTTTGAGGATTTACATTTAATGGCATGATTGACATGATTAAGTTATCACCCAGCGGCAACACTTACTTGCAAGAGGGTTAGAATTATTTTAGGTCACGGTTTCAGCTACGCTTTAACCTTCTAGGTTTAAAAAAAAAAAACTTAAAAAGGCGGGTAAGTCGTGGATGTCGCTCTGCTGTACAGTAGGTTACAAGTGGGTTACTGTAATGGATGGAATTAAATTTGAATCCCATGATATTATATCATTGTATACGAAAAACGATTCTGAGYGMAGACGGTTTATCWGTCTAGGATATATTATAGATTATGAAAAATTTTCAAATCTTAGATTTCAAATAAATTTTTTTTATGAATTTCTAGCATAAAATAAAATATGAATTTTCGTGATTTTTAGGTATGTTGTCAAAATTCAAACTTTGAATGCTTGTAAATAAAAATTGTGTCTATATTTTTATTTTATTTTTCACCTGCTATTATAAAAATATGTTAGGAGCCTTGTATTAAATTTTCAAATCTTAGATATAAAAGGAACATTTTTTATGAATTTCTAGCATAAAATAAAATATGTATTTTCGTGATTTTTA